TCGCTTGTGGTCTGAGCCAACGTGCACGTCCGGGAGGAGACAGGGACAGTCGACAGCGACACCGTCTATGGCTGGAGCGAGTAGATGTCCGTATTCTCCTGTGTGGGCGGCCCCGCTTTCGGCAGGAGCCCGGGACATATTTTTTGAGGCCGTTCTAGTGGCTGAATTGATCGTTGTTCTGAGATATACAAGGTTGCCGAAGCAGGTCGAAATATATGCCACATAGAATACAGCGATCAAGCAGACTGTATATAACAATATTGAAAAGATCTGTTATAATTCTCGATCAAATCGTACTTGTTGCGATCCACATAAACGCACATGGATTCCCGGTAGGGTGCTGTAAGTTGATCTGGTTTACAAACCAGTTAGAAACATGTTTTTAAAAACAGTGTTAGTTTCTAATTCCTAGGGGTGGGGGGTGTTTGTAAACAGCCATGTGTGACATTATATCACATCAGTCACACAATCAACACTACCAAATATGGTAATTTCCTTCTGGATAGTAGAGACCTAGTTGCTGAGATGGAAAATACTGTTTCTATCAAGAGGTAGTCTAATGATAGGGTGGTACCAGACTATAGAAGTAGTAGTACTAGATAATTATTATAGATACTAAACTACATTAGGTAATCCCCCCCTTGTTTTAAAAACTGTTTATAAACACCCCTGTTTTTAAAAACTGTTAGAAACACCTGTAAGTATTGGCTGGGGAATTACTTACAGCACCCTAATTCCCGGGCCAGAAGTATAATCATGACAGCCTTCTCCACACAACCAATGGCCACCTGTCGAGCGGAGTCCGCGGGCAAGGGCAGACATGGGAGAAGAATACTATCCTCCGTAGGTCGAGAGTTGTCTCCGTCTTGCTTGAGCGCTCGTCCGACTGCGCAAATTTGAAACGCTGTCCCTCCCCCAATCCGTTTAAAACTCTCTCCTGAGATCTCCAACCATTGGTAATCGTCTCAAATTACCTCCGCCCACGCGTATACTGCCCTTCGACGAAGAATTGTCGCCGATGCCTCCCATATAACCGCAAGGCAAAAGGCGCTCGACAACGACCTTGCCCCTCGAATTACGAGACAAAAAGGATTAAGTAGGAGGGGCAAGGTATGCGGCACGCGGAGATACACTCCATAGAGCGCCACCTGCCGCGTTGTGCGAGATATGTGGCAGCCTTTCGCTCGGCGGGTCAGCACGTGACTGCCATTTTGGGAAGCCGACGCCGATTGTATGTGGAGGGTGCAGACGTGGGCGAGGAGGACGGGGAAGGGATGAGATGAGATGTGAGCAGGGAATGATAGTTAAGGTGTGTGGGCGCTTGAAGAAGCTGCGATGGTCCACAAGCTTGACCCCAGTGCTGTTCTCCGTCGAGGTCGGTCAACAGACAAGCTCGGAAATTCAGCCTATGACCATGGCAAGCGTAGTCGTTTGTACGCTGATGCGATTTGTTTGACAGAAGGAAAAGACGGTGTAGAAGCGTGGAGGTGTACCACGCGACTAGATAGGCCCGCCGGAGCGGTAGCTGCTGCGTTGGGCGATATAGGTGGTTTTCGAAGGGTGACGCCGCCACAAGCTGAAGGAAAGTACGGAATTCGACGGCGGGCTGGTCAAGCAGAGGCGTTGGGGGGGGTTGCCAGCCTTAACGGCGAGCATTACTTGCGTGCCGGGGAGGTTCTGCTGCCTGCAGACAGGACAGCGCGAACGCCGAAAGCTGATGTAGTGTCCGTCGGGTGGTGTTTCCTTGCGGAGGTACTGGGCGAGCTGGGGTGAGGAGGGTTTGGGGAGTTTGGAGTACGCGAGAAGCTTGGCGGTGGCGATAGATACGACGCGGAACAAAAAATGGGCAGGGGGAAGCGGGACTGTGGAGAAGGTCAAGACCAGGTTGTCGAGAGGAAGATAGAGCCACGACTCACCGGAGTTCTTGCCCACATGAGAGCGAGCCCGTCGCTCGTCCAAGCCCTCTCCACGCTGAGATGACTCCGCACAGTGGCCGGAGAGAGGGATTGCCACGCCGACATCGATTATGCGATTGTAGGGCTACGTGGTGACGCGCTTGCTGTCAGGAACAGGGCCGGCCCGGGCCCACGTGACGGTCTCCTGCCAGTCTGACAAGTGTGGGAAAGATTGTTCAACCCCCATAGCTGGGTGGTTGGCAACCAGGCAGCGTAGATGGTGCCACTGCTGCAATAGAGAGCAGGGTAGGGACAACTCGGGGCGACTCGAGACGCCCCGCTGTCACGTTGTGTGACAGCGGTGTCACAGGATACGAGTAGTCGCCTAGAGTGTCCTACCCCTGCTGAAGGGAACGAGTCCATAGCCAAAGAGTGCTGCCTAGTAGAGTCGGTGCCCAAGACATAGGGCAAGGCATAGGCTGGGCCAGTTGAACAAGCCGTTCGGGCGGGGCGTGACGTAACGCGGTCACGCCCGACGGTTCGGGGGTCGAGGGGAGTCGCCCCGCAACAGGGGCTGCGGGCCCGAGACCCCTGGAGCGCTTGAGAAGGGTTGCCAGTCCAAGGGGCGACATATCTCCTTTCCTGGAGTGACGAGTCGCTGTGGCTCCTAGACACCGCGTGACGGCGCGGTGTGACGCGTGACATGCGGGCCCGATCGGGCCCGCACCCTCCCATCGCCCCGTACCAGGGGAACCCAGAGCTTGAGGCCAGAGAGCAAGAAGAAGTGGCTAGGACAAGGGTGAACATAAGAGACAAGAGCCTGGGCTGTCCAGCCCAACCAAGGGCTCAGGTCAATGAGGCAAGCGAGCCTGGAGCGTCAGGGGTTGCCTGGACACCCCTTGCATGGGGATTCGTCGCAGCAACCCCGCTTGAAGGGACCAGGCCGGAGTAGGGTTCAAGGAAAGAGACTTCAATGCTAAACCTAAGGTACAGGAGTAATACTCTAGTCTTTATATACTGTGGGCGCTAGGGGCCGATCGGGCCCGCTGAGGGTCGATCAGAAGGGAGCAGGGGATGTCTCTGGTCGTCCCTGGTCGCTCCGCTAGGAGCCCAGGGACCATTCCTCTGGAAAGGAGCCATGCCAATGTCGACACTAAGGAGTGTTTGACAATGCAACAGTAAGGAGCTCCCTCCTGGACCCTGTGGTTGTCTAGGGCCGATTGGGCCCGCTGTCAAGGGCGTCCGGCGGCGCATCATGATCCCTGATGGCGGGTCATGATGGCTTGATGGCTGACTAAAGCGCGATCCGTGATTATGTCCCTTCTCTGGGATATTAGTGTTGTTGCTCATTGCTTTGAGCTTGTGAATTATGAGGGCTTGTCAAGCCCTAGGGCTCTAAGGGTGGTGAGGGTCCGATGGGCCGTATAGGGCCCGTTGGCCCGACCCGAACCCTGACACTTGCTCACGGAGTGAACAAGAACTAAAAAGGCAAGTGCTATCAAAAAGCTCTGATAAGACTTATGCACTTAGCAGCCAAACTCTCAACACTTAAGGGACTTAAGCAAAGAGAACTCAGAGGGAGAACAGAGAGGAAACAGAGAGGCAGGCAGCAGAGAGAGATCAACAGGATGATGATTTGGACTAACTAAAACAGTGGCTTATATAGACTAAAGAAATAGGAGCTAGGAGCTCTAATTAAGGAACAAGTCAAGGGAACTACAGAAAGGAACAGGCACAAGACAAGGCAAATGAAAAACTAAGAGAAACTAAGGCTACTACCGGATATGGCTGCTGACTAAGCGGAGCGGTCACATGACAGGCGTGACGAGCAAGGCTCGTCACCTCCTCCCAACTGAAAAAATGACCGTCCGCGGTCATCAGAGTGGATATGATGGATGGTGGGAAAGTAGAAGTCATGTGGGAAAGTGGAGGAAGTCGGAATTAATCCGAGTCAGAGTCCTAGTCGAGTTCGATAGGCCACTCGGGGATGTCACCAGCAGACAGGTTGTCCCAGTCCAAAGAACGTGGGACATATGTTGGAGAGTTGGCACTAAAGAACGGTTGGCAGGCTGCGTTGGCGTGGTAAGCACCTGGGCAGAATATGCAGGTGTCCGGAGTTGCATCACCATCAGCTGGCACGAGGTCCGGGAGCGAAGCCGTGGATAGTGCAGGGGAAGGAGACCCGTGGGTAGCCGTGATGGAAGCCCGGTTGATGTCCGCTCTGATCGCGAAGTCATCAAGGAAGGTGTCGGCAGCAGGAGGCGTTCTGGCACGAGTACGCAAGGCAAGCTTTGCCCTGTGAGCTGCCAAAATAGCTGCGGCTTCGTTGGGGTGGGCGTCGTAATACTGGACCATGCGGCTTTGAATAGTGGGACCGCGGATGTGTTTGGGGGAAGTACCGGCCACCCGGGAGCTTGTAGCGGCCGTTCGCATCAAGCTCGACATAGCCGATGTCAAGCTGGACCCGACTGGTGCGGCATTCAAGCTTGCCGTGGCCAGCAAGACCACAGTATGGGCAGGTCAGAGTTCGGGGCTGTCGGCCGGCGCCAGGCGGTGCGGAATCAGGCACAACTTCGGGCCGGAAGGCGGGCTTGGCGGATAGACTGAAGGCGTTCAAGTTCGGCAGCCACTTGTGCGCACAGGTTTGGGTCTTCCGCAAGCTGTTGCGCAATGGAGCGGCAATCGCGGGAGCGCTGGCGGAAGCGGGCGGTGATGGCAGAAGGTCGTGAGGAATAGAAGCGGGGCATCGTGGCAGCAGCGTGAGTTCGTGTCAGAGTCGTGGCAGCGTCGTGGGTCAGCGTCGTAGGTCAGCGTCGTGGGTCAGCGTCGTGGGTTGGCAGCAGCAGCAGGAGCGTGGGGTTCAGCAGCGTGGGGGTCGTAAAACTGTGTATTAATTTCGGGTCAGAGTACTTATTGCAACATGGTATTTGATCTATTTGATCAGCAGAGGGGTGGTGTCAACCCTATATTGAGGAACCAGGGCGGGGATTGAGTTCTGGCACTGTGGCTCCTCCCAACTTGCCAATGACATCATCCCGGTTCCACCAGCGCAGGTGGAACTCGCCATCAGGCAGTCGTGGGAAGTGGGGAGAAAATGTGCCAATTTCAGAGTTCTTCTTCCGGATCAGCCATTTCGGTGTCCTCCAGCTCTCTCAAGCGAGCAGTGGAGACATCCAGGAACTCTTCAAGGGGTGGCAGAGGGATCGATGTTCTGGGGAAGTACGGAATCACACGGAACGCGGCTGTTGGTCGATCGAAGACAGATCCATCCAATTCTGCCAGAATATAGGCACCTCCACGGTTGCGTGAAATCACAAGGAGTGGGCCCATGTAACGATCACGCATCTTGAGTCCGATTGATTTATCAATAGCTGAGTTTTTCATCAAAACAAGTGAGCCGGGTTTGAAGTTATAATCGCGTATTGTGGCAGCATGATCACGCTCAAATCGCCGTGCATCCTCCAATCTTGCTTCATACACTCGGGAGTGCAGCTCTGCTAGCTGTTCTCGGCGCTTCTGTAGTGTGATTGCTCGTCTGGCGATCAGGGCAGTGGTGGAGAGGGTCGATGTAGGGGGAGGCAGCAGGTACGACGCTTCCGTGATGTCGAGGGGCAGCAGTGGATGGGTCCCGGTAACAGCGAAGTACGGTGAGCAACCCATGCGGCGCCGCACCGTGCATCGTACAATGTCGCGCAACGTGAACGCGACGTTGCGAAGCGACTCCAAGCGAAGGGGTAATCGCCCCGTTGGCGGACTGCATCTGAAGAACGATGGTCGGGTCGTACTGGAGGGCGAGGCGATGGCAGAGAGCTTCCGACATCGCACAGATTTGCGAGCCGGGGTCTACAATAGACTCCACATATTCTTGATTGTCGACTATGGGGAGTATGCAGCGGATGGCGGTTGTTTTGGCGGAAGTGATGAGGCCTTCAGGAAGGCGGCCTTGGTCGTGAGGCGCCACGAACGCGTCTGGCACAAAGATGCCATTCGCGTTGTGGTTTGCGGCCGCAGTGGAGACTGCATCGGGCAGTGAATCGCGGATTGCGGCTGCGGCGCCGTGGCGTGGTCGTTTGTGGGGCCGAAGTCGAAGCCAGTAAGTGGAGGCAGCGGGTCCTCGCTGTTGAGGAGTTGCTCTGCAGGTTTGTCTGCAGGTCGGGCGCGGCGTAAACGATTGGCGAGCCAGAGCCGAGACTTCCGGACTGGCCAGTAACTTGCGCGCCTTGACGGTCACATCGGCGTCTAGCACCGCGTTGAACACGTCTTGCGCGTTCCGCGGGTCGTGAATCGGAGGGCGGACGGGTGGCTTGTGAGGAGCGCCAAGATTGCGCTCTTTTGGCGGCGCGTAAGCAGCGTCACGAGCGGCGGCATAGGGGTGTTCGGGGAAGGGTCCCGGAGGTGGTGTGAGGTCAGGGGCGGCTGGTGCGTCAGCTGTCGCGTGGTCGTGGGCCGGGGCCGGGGCTTCGTGAGACGAGGAGGTGGGAGTAGGAGGAGAATCGGGGTTTGACGTGGCAGCGGGAGCAGATCGCTGATCGGCCTTCGGGCGGTGATCGCTGATCTCCGCCGAGTCAGGCGTCTCCTTTGCTTCTGCCCCCTTCTTTCTCGCCTCAGCCTCCTTCCTCGCCGCCATTCGCGTTCGCAGCATCTGCTGCTCGGACGGCAATCGCTTCAAGCCGTTGCTCGTCGCTCAAGACGAAGGAGTCGACCCAGGGAACTGGCGTGGGGGTAGCGGGTTTCTTCACAACGTCGACGATCAGCTGGGGCGTCAGTTTCTGGCCAGGGTTCTGCTCGTGCCAAGCGAGGATTCGTTCGCGGAGGCACTGGCCTGCAAGAGCCCGGGAAGGGTATCTTCCATCGGGTAAGACCAGCTTGTTTTCTTCGTTTCGTCGGACTAATCCAGCTTTTATATCTTCAATCAACTTCTGGCACTCGCGCATGAAGTGGGTGAGGTCGAGGCAATAGCTGCAGCCGGGGTGGCGCTGTCCGGAGGAGCGGCCGGGATTCGCGGAGGGGTTGGCGTTGCTGGGTGTCTGGGGGGATTGGCTGGGGGCAGCATTGGTGCGTGCTTGACTGGCGAGCACGGCAACAAGCTGACTTATAGAGGTGAGCACCGCCTTCAGCTCGGGGTCCGTCTTGACCACAGGTTCAGCGGGGCTCGGGGTTGGTGCCGCGTTCAACAGCAGGGACGGCGAGCCGGCAAGGCAGAACTTTGCAGCATCGTACAGGTCGGCGGCGCATACGGGTCGTCCGCGTGGACGTTCGGGCGGATGATCTGAAGCCGTTGCTTCACAGCCGCTTGAAGCGAGGCGGGCTGGAGAGCACGCAAGAATGCGTGGCTCTGTTCAGTCTCAGAAAGCCGTTTCTTCGAAATGAGAAACTTGGCGATGCGAACGAAGGTTCGGAAGAACGCAGCGAGCTCGTTCTCGGAGTGGATGCCGGCGGGCCGTGCTACCAAGGTGAGCGTCCCAATCTTTGAGTGTATACAAGTGCTCCTCATCGTTTCCAGCGTAGTGCGAGAGCGCGGCTTTCTTAAACTCATCGTACGTCTTAGTGGCATCATGGAACTCGTCAAGACCTTCAACGAGCTCCTGGTCTTGGACTGAAAGGTAACGTGAGCATGCTTTCTTCTTATCCTCAGTCGTAGTGATATTTGCTAGCCCCATCAAGTACTCAACATCGGCGAAGTAACGACGAAGCTCTTCTGGCTTCGTGGAGTCGAACTTGGGCGCAGTATGCGCGCCGCGAGCGGGCATTGGGATCGGAGTGGGAGGCATATTGACGGGGTTAACGTTGTTGGGTGGTACTATCGAGGCTGAGCGGGACTGGGGTGGTGCGCGGCTGGGTGTGGGAGAGTCGGGCGAGGTCTGTTCGTCGGAGCGATACGTCTGTTCGTCGATAGGCGTTGGTGGGTTATCGAATAACCAAGCTAATGTCGGATCACCGGGGCGATGAGGGGTAAGGTGTGTTGTGTGTCGCGAATGTGTCAGGTACGACGTGTAGGAGGTCGTCCGGGTCACCGGGAAGGTAAGGAGTTGATGTGTAGGGGTCGTGGATGGCAGCGAGAACTTCTTCGCGCAGTTCGCGGTGGGAAGTGCGGGCGGAGTTAGGCCGTAAGCCGTAAGAGCTGTCAGACGCAATTTTGAAAAGCCCTCGCGGTGGGCTCCAAAATGACGCGCTTGCTCACGGAGTGAACAAGAACTAAAAAGGCAAGTGCTATCAAAAAGCTCTGATAAGACTTATGCACTTAGCAGCCAAACTCTCAACACTTAAGGGACTTAAGCAAAGAGAACTCAGAGGGAGAACAGAGAGGAAACAGAGAGGCAGGCAGCAGAGAGAGAGATCAACAGGATGATGATTTTGAACTACTAAAAACAGAGGCTTATATAGACTAAAAGAACTAGGAGCTAGGAGCTCATATTAAGGAACAAGTCAAGAGAGAAACAGAAAGGAGCAGGAACAGACAAGGCAAATGAAAAACTAAGAGAAACTAAGGCTACTACCGGATATGGCTGCTGACTAAGCGGAGCGGTCACATGACAGGCGTGACGAGCAAGGCTCGTCACCTCCTCCCAACTGAAAAAATGACCGTCCGCGGTCATCAGAGTGGATATGATGGATGGTGGGAAAGTAGAAGTCATGTGGGAAAGTGGAGGAAGTCGGAATTAATCCGAGTCAGAGTCCTAGTCGAGTTCGATAGGCCACTCGGGGATGTCACCAGCAGACAGGTTGTCCCAGTCCAAAGAACGTGGGACATATGTTGGAGAGTTGGCACTAAAGAACGGTTGGCAGGCTGCGTTGGCGTGGTAAGCACCTGGGCAGAATATGCAGGTGTCCGGAGTTGCATCACCATCAGCTGGCACGAGGTCCGGGAGCGAAGCCGTGGATAGTGCAGGGGAAGGAGACCCGTGGGTAGCCGTGATGGAAGCCCGGTTGATGTCCGCTCTGATCGCGAAGTCATCAAGGAAGGTGTCGGCAGCAGGAGGCGTTCTGGCACGAGTACGCAAGGCAAGCTTTGCCCTGTGAGCTGCCAAAATAGCCGCGGCTTCGTCGGGGTGGGCGTCATAATACTGGACCATGCGGCTTTGAATAGTGGGGCCACGGATGTGTTTGGGGAAGTAGCGGCCGCCCGGGAGCTTGTAGCGGCCGTTGGCATCAAGCTCGACATAGCCGATGTCAAGCTGGACCCGACTGGTGCGGCATTCAAGCTTCCCGTGACCAGCAAGACCACAGTATGGGCAGGTCAGAGTTCGGGGCTGTCGGCCGGCGCCAGGCGGTGCGGAATCAGGCACAACTCGGGCCGGAAGGCGGGCTTGGCGGATAGACTGAAGGCGTTCAAGTTCGGCAGCCACTTGTGCGCACAGGTTTGGGTCTTCCGCAAGCTGTTGCGCAATGGAGCGGCAATCGCGGGAGCGCTGGCGGAAGCGGGCGGTGATGGCAGAAGGTCGTGAGGAATAGAAGCGGGGCATCGTGGCAGCAGCGTGAGTTCGTGTCAGAGTCGTGGCAGCGTCGTGGGTCAGCGTCGTAGGTCAGCGTCGTGGGTCAGCGTCGTGGGTTGGCAGCAGCAGCAGGAGCGTGGGGTTCAGCAGCGTGGGGGTCGTAAAACTGTGTATTAATTTCGGGTCAGAGTACTTATTGCAACATGGTATTTGATCTATTTGATCAGCAGAGGGGTGGTGTCAACCCTATATTGAGGAACCAGGGCGGGGATTGAGTTCTGGCACTGTGGCTCCTCCCAACTTGCCAATGACATCATCCCGGTTCCACCAGCGCAGGTGGAACTCGCCATCAGGCAGTCGTGGGAAGTGGGGAGAAAATGTGCCAATTTCAGAGTTCTTCTTCCGGATCAGCCATTTCGGTGTCCTCCAGCTCTCTCAAGCGAGCAGTGGAGACATCCAGGAACTCTTCAAGGGGTGGCAGAGGGATCGATGTTCTGGGGAAGTACGGAATCACACGGAACGCGGCTGTTGGTCGATCGAAGACAGATCCATCCAATTCTGCCAGAATATAGGCACCTCCACGGTTGCGTGAAATCACAAGGAGTGGGCCCATGTAACGATCACGCATCTTGAGTCCGATTGATTTATCAATAGCTGAGTTTTTCATCAAAACAAGTGAGCCGGGTTTGAAGTTATAATCGCGTATTGTGGCAGCATGATCACGCTCAAATCGCCGTGCATCCTCCAATCTTGCTTCATACACTCGGGAGTGCAGCTCTGCTAGCTGTTCTCGGCGCTTCTGTAGTGTGATTGCTCGTCTGGCGATCAGGGCAGTGGTGGAGAGGGTCGATGTAGGGGGAGGCAGCAGGTACGACGCTTCCGTGATGTCGAGGGGCAGCAGTGGATGGGTCCCGGTAACAGCGAAGTACGGTGAGCAACCCATGCGGCGCCGCACCGTGCATCGTTCAGCCCAGAAAACGCTGTAGGCAGACATTGCCCAGTGCTTCTCGTCACCATCGGCAGCTTTGAACAGTGCTTCGCGGACATCGAAGTGCGCGCGTTCAACTACGCCGTTGGCGCGGGAGTTGTAGCCGGATATCCGGATGTGTCGCACATGATATTTATTTTCCAAATGTGTTAATGCCTTGACAAATGGTGTCCCGTTGTCAGTAACAATCTCCAGGAGTGTGCCCCAGCGGCACAGAATGTCTTGAAATATCCAATCGGCGATCGCGGCAGCCGACTCGCGTCGCAACATGCGAAACTCGGGATAGCTCGTCAGCGCACAGCGCGCCTGAACGATGTAAGCGAAGCCGTTGCTTCGCGGCATGTGCATAGTGTCGATGTGAACGCGGGAGAAGATGGGCGGAGGCGCGGAGACCGTTGGAGGGATAAGCAGTCGCTGAGTCTTGCGGATTTGGCACAAATGGCATGTCTTTACATACCAATTGATGTCGTTAGCCATATGTGGCCACCAGAAGCGCTCGGAAACAAGCGCGCGAGTCGCGTGGAAGCCTTTGTGGCCGATGTCCTCGTGGGCGGATCGCAGTATGTAGAGCCGCCGCTCGGTTGGAACTACCTGCTTGTGGTTTCCGTGAGCGTCTTTGCGCCATAGTTGGTCGTTGTGCACGAAGAACTCCACAGAGTACTTCATGAAGGCGTCATATTGGCTATCGGTGATGTCGCGCGGTCGTTCAAGGGTCCTGTGCCACCAGCGAACCCATTCGAGGCGAGCGTCGGCGACACGGGCCGAGTCAGAGCGCGGGATTTGGTCGTAGGCTAGCGCAGGCGGCGGATCAGCAGGGTTCGGTACCGCTTCCGCGGCAAACGTTGCAACCAGCTGCTGTGGGCGTTGAGCGTAAGGTGAGTCGTTTACCATGTGCATGAAGCCATAGACTCGATCTACCCAGTCGTCGAAGTCGTCTGGGGGTTCCGGTTCGTCGTGGGGCTGCGCAGGGCGTCGGGAGAGGCCATCGGGGCCGTGGTGGTCGCCGGGGACATGTACAAGAGTGAAATGGAACGCGAGGATCGAGATGATCCACCGGTTGATGCTTGCGGTCGGTTCCAAGTCGGGGTTTGCAAGCATACCTTTTATATACCGGGCGTCGACTTCAACAACCAGGTTTCTGAGCCCTACCAAGTATAATTTGCAGGCCCGGAGGGTTCGGAACAGGCCGTATATCTCCAATTTCGCTTGGGAAAATCGCGCTTCACGCTCGTTCAGCGTTATCGAACCGAAGCGCGAGTAAAATCGCCGAGCGAGATTGGCGGAGTCGCACTGTGACAGCAAGAAGCCAATCGCGATATAGGATGTGTCGACAGAGAGGATAATCGGCGGTGCATCCGGGGAGTAATCGAGGGGTCGGAGAGCAGGGGAGTGAATGAGCGCGAGCTTGAGGTCGTCTTGTGCGGCGAGCTGTGCCGGGCCAAAGGTGAAGGGGACGCCCTTTCGAGTCAGTTCAACCAGAGCGTGCGCGCGGTGGCTGAAGTTCTTGATGAACATTCGGCACACACCTACCGTTCCCAGGAAGGCGCGCACGTCGGACAGGTTCTTACAAGGGCCCCAATTCACAATCTTCTCAACACGAGACTTATCGGGAATTCGACCGCGGGGCGTGCAAACGTGGCCAACAACGGTGAATTCTTCAGCACAGAGTATCAACTTTTTACCTGAGAAGGTACCGCCACAGTATTTCATACGCTGAACAATTCGATTCAGGTTATTGAAGTGCTCCCAGATGAAGCGGCGGATTTCGGGATTTGCAGGGATTGTTTCGAATGATCCGTCTGCGAGGCGATACTGGCTGGCCGGGCCGCGAACGGGCACGTCGTCGATGAATGGCTGGGTGTAGTCGGGAATTTCATCTTGGAGGATAAATGTTACGTCGTCGTGGAATATGGGGACGGAATTGGTCCATCCCATGGGCAGAGTGACGAGGCGGAGGGCGCCGAAAGGCGTTTGGAAGGTTGTGTAGTCGCGGGAAGAAGTCGCGAGCAGTCGCTCGTCGTAGCCAACATACAAGTCTAGCGTGGCGCCGCACGCGCGGCCAGCAAAGCTCTCAGCGAGCTGATCGGTAAAAGGCGGGACTCCGGAATGTTGAATCGTGACTGCGTTAAGCGGCTCGAGGGAGTGGACAAGTCGGAGGCTGCTGCCGTCCTTCTTGACCACACAAAACCAGCGGGAGCGGTAGGCAGAATTCGAGGGCTCGTAGACGCCCGCAGCGATCTTGGTTTTGATGACGTCGCAAACCTTTTGGTAGATGCCAGGCGGTATTGGAATGTTGCGTTGGACCCAAGGTGTGTGGGGCATTACCGGCATATCGACTGGCGGGAAGAAGTCCGTGCGGAAACTGCCGCGTTCGGAGTCTTCCCAAGCGAACGCGCCGTTCTGCAAGCACATGAAGTGGTGCAACAATTCGCGTTCTGCCGGCCAGAGAAAGTTGCCAGCGTGGGCAGCGTCGAGTGCCTCACGGCGTTCGCGCGTGTAACGGCCAGTGGGTTCAAAGGGCGGTGGATGCGGGTTGAGTGTAGGTATGTCGGCGAGTGGATCACCGAGAATGTTCCTTACGATGCGGAATTTTTCGGGCAGAGCATCGAGTACGGGCCGTATTTTCTTAGAAACAGGTTTATATTTCCGATTAGCGAATACATTAGTGAGAGGAGAGATGGGGGAAGGAGTCGGGACATATGAGGAAGGGATAGAGTCGAGGAAGCTGGGCTGTCGTGGATCGGTAGCGCGCGACGGCGGCGGGTATCGTGAGTGAGAAGAGATAGAGAAGATGGGCAGGAAGTCATCGCCGGGAGTGGCGGCAGTGAGGGAAGCAGGGTATGGCGGCACCAAGGGGCCGTCCGTGATTAGGATAAAGGCTGGTTGCGCTAGGTAGTGCGCGCAATGTACAGTGTCGTGGTCGTCGCCTAGGTTCTCGCACGCAGCGAGGTAAGCGAGTTGAATGTGTTCGCGGGTGTCCGATTCGAGTGTCTTGTGTGCCGATATTTGAAATGTGTCCGAGCGAGCGTCATGGTCAATAACCAGCGCTATACTGTCTGCGGAGCTCAGTGCTTCATACGTGAAGACTTGAGCTTGAGAAAACCCTCTTTTGTTGCTCGAGAGGAGCCACGCGGGATGGTTGGGACGGTCGCGGTTCGGCCGGTGTTGGGATCGCGGATCGTGATGGTTTGGTCGTTGTTACTGTAGTTGTGTACCACAGACTGTGTGAGAACGTCGAATGGACGCCCGAGCAGGACATCGTAGGCGGGGTTCCGGACGATGTGGACCTGCAGGTACAGTACAATGTCGCGCAACGTGAACGCGACGTTGCGAGCGACTCCAAGCGAAGGGGTAATCGCCCCGTTGGCGGACTGCATCTGAAGAACGATGGTCGGGTCGTACTGGAGGGCGAGGCGATGGCAGAGAGCTTCCGACATCGCACAGATTTGCGAGCCGGGGTCTACAATAGACTCCACATATTCTTGATTGTCGACTATGGGGAGTATGCAGCGGATGGCGGTTGTTTCGGCGGAAGTGATGAGGCCTTCAGGAAGGCGGCCTTGGTCGTAGAGCGCCACGAACGCGTCTGGCACAAAGATGCCATTCGCGTTGTGGTTTGCGGCCGCAGTGGAGACTGCATCGGGCAGTGAATCGCGGATTGCGGCTGCGCGCCGCCGTGGCGTGGTCGTTTGTGGGGCCGAAGTCGAAGCCAGTAAGTGGAGGCAGCGGGTCCTCGCTGTTGAGGAGTTGCTCTGCAGGTTTGTCTGCAGGTCGGCGCGGGCGTAAACGATTGGCGAGCCAGAGCCGAGACTTCCGGACTGGCCAGTAACTTGCGCGCCTTGACGGTCACATCGGCGTCTAGCACCGCGTTGAACACGTCTTGCGCGTTCCGCGGGTCGTGAATCGGAGGGCGGACGGGTGGCTTGTGAGGAGCGCCAAGATTGCGCTCTTTTGGCGGCGCGTAAGCAGCGTCACGAGCGGCGGCATAGGGGTGTTCGGGGAAGGGTCCCGGAGGTGGTGTGAGGTCAGGGGCGGCTGGTGCGTCAGCTGTCGCGTGGTCGTGGGCCGGGGCGGGGGCCGTGAGACGAGGAGGTGGGAGTAGGAGGAGAATCGGGGTTTGACGTGGCAGCGGGAGCAGATCGCTGATCGGCCTTCGGGCGGTGATCGCTGATCTCCGCCGAGTCAGGCGTCTCCTTTGCTTCTGCCCCCTTCTTTCTCGCCTCAGCCTCCTTCCTCGCCGCCATTCGCGTTCGCAGCATCTGCTGCTCGACGGCAATCGCTTCAAGCCGTTGCTCGTCGCTCAAGACGAAGGAGTCGACCGCGGGAACTGGCGTGGGGGTAGCGGGTTTCTTCACAACGTCGACGATCAGCTGGGGCGTCAGTTTCTGGCCAGGGTTCTGCTCGTGCCAAGCGAGGATTCGTTCGCGGGAGGCACTGGCCTGCAAGAGCCCGGGAAGGGTATCTTCCATCGGGTAAGACCAGCTTGTTTTCTTCGTTTCGTCGGACTAATCCAGCTTTTATATCTTCAATCAACTTCTGGCACTCGCGCATGAAGTGGGTGAGGTCGAGGCAATAGCTGCAGCCGGGGTGGCGCTGTCCGGAGGAGCGGCCGGGATTCGCGGAGGGGTTGGCGTTGCTGGGTGTCTGGGGGGGATTGGCTGGGGGCAGCATTGGTGCGTGCTTGACTGGCGAGCACGGCAACAAGCTGACTTATAGAGGTGAGCACCGCCTTCAGCTCGGGGTCCGTCTTGACCACAGGTTCAGCGGGGCTCGGGGTTGGTGCCGCGTTCAACAGCAGGGACGGCGAGCCGGCAAGGCAGAACTTTGCAGCATCGTACAGGTCGGCGAGCGCATACGGGTCGTCCGCGTGGACGTTCGGGCGGATGATCTGAAGCCGTTGCTTCACAGCCGCTTGAAGCGAGGCGGGCTGGAGAGCACGCAAGAATGCGTGGCTCTGTTCAGTCTCAGAAAGCCGTTTCTTCGAAATGAGAAACTTGGCGATGCGAACGAAGGTTCGGAAGAACGCAGCGAGCTCGTTCTCGGAGTGGATGCCGACGCGGGCCGTGCTACCAAGGTGAGCGTCCCAATCTTTGAGTGTATACAAGTGCTCCTCATCGTTTCCAGCGTAGTGCGAGAGCGCGGCTTTCTTAAACTCATCGTACGTCTTAGTGGCATCATGGAACTCGTCAAGACCTTCAACGAGCTCCTGGTCTTGGACTGAAAGGTAACGTGAGCATGCTTTCTTCTTATCCTCAGTCGTAGTGATATTTGCTAGCCCCATCAAGTACTCAACATCGGCGAAGTAACGACGAAGCTCTTCTGGCTTCGTGGAGTCGAACTTGGGCGCAGTATGCGCGCCGCGAGCGGGCATTGGGATCGGAGTGGGAGGCATATTGACGGGGTTAACGTTGTTGGGTGGTACTATCGAGGCTGAGCGGGACTGGGGTGGTGCGCGGCTGGGTGTGGGAGAGTCGGGCGAGGTCTGTTCGTCGGAGCGATACGTCTGTTCGTCGATAGGCGTTGGTGGGTTATCGAATAACCAAGCTAATGTCGGATCACCGGGGGCGATGAGGGGTAAGTGTGTTGTGTGTCGCGAATGTGTCAGGTACGACGTGTAGGAGGTCGTCCGGGTCACCGGGAAGGTAAGGAGTTGATGTGTAGGGGTCGTGGATGGCAGCGAGAACTTCTTCGCGCAGTTCGCGGTGGGAAGTGCGGGCGGAGTTAGGCCGTAAGCCGTAAGAGCTGTCAGACGCAATTTTGAAAAGCCCTCGCGGTGGGCTCCAAAATGACGCGCTTGCTCACGGAGTGAACAAGAACTAAAAAGGCAAGTGCTATCAAAAAGCTCTGATAAGACTTATGCACTTAGCAGCCAAACTCTCAACACTTAAGGGACTTAAGCAAAGAGAACTCAGAGGGAGAACAGAGAGGAAACAGAGAGGCAGGCAGCAGAGAGAGATCAACAGGATGATGATTTGGACTAACTAAAACAGTGGCTTATATAGACTAAAGAACTAGGAGCTAGGAGCTCTAATTAAGGAACAAGTCAAGGGAACTACAGAAAGGAACAGGCACAAGACAAGGGAAATGAAAAACTAAGAAAACTAAGGCGGCTACCGGATATGGCTGCTGACTAAGCGGAGCAGTCACATGACAGGCGTGACGAGCAAGGCTCGTCAGTGGAAATGGGAATGCGGACAGCCAGGCGCGGGCGCATATGCTCCTGGAAGCTAATGCGGAGGTACTGTGCATTTTTGTCAGCTTGGATAGGGCTTGGTTTATATAGGGGTGTTTGTAAACCGGTTTATAAACACCCCTGTTTTATATGTTTATAAACAGCCTGGCTGGAAACCCCCTGTTTTATGGTTTTATATTAGTAAGCGCCCAAAAAGGAAAGAAGCTAGCAAACCAGACTTACTTTACACCAATATTGCTTGTATATACTGCTAGCAGGTTTGATCATATCTTATAGGTCTATTATAATATATTGTTTCTTATCAAGTAGGATCTCAACCCACTTTCGGCTAATATTGCCATATTGATCATGATTAATCCTAGTAACTATTGGGAGCTTGGGCGTGTGACTATACTATACTAATTATACAGATTAATTATTATCAAGGTTATCATGATTTTTAAGTGTTCTAAAGGATTCATGACAGGGGTTCTAAAATCTACCAGTGCTGATAAGTAAATTATACATATTATATATAACTAATTCATGTTATGCAAACTTACAAGTGATAGTTGATATAACCTTGCTGTTTCAACCCCTAATGATTATGAATCTCAAAGTCTTGAAGTTAAAACACCAAATTTTGCTGCAAAAAATTTCCTAAAAAGGCAATTTTGATCTCTCCGGTCATATCGGCTCAGTTGGTTTATAAAACCTAAAAACCGGTTTATAAACAGGGTTTCAGAGGCTATTTTTATCAAACCGTTTGATAACCTCCAAAATCTTTACAAACCAAGCCCTAAGCTTGGAGACCACGTTGACGAGGAAATGAAGCCAGCAGACACACCTCCTACGCCCACCACCGCTCCCGACCCTCCCATCTGCCTGCCTCCCGGGTCCTCCCCCAATAGCACACTACGTTTGGCGCAGCCTGTCGCGGGCAGACCCCCACGTGCGGGTACAGTCGTCGCAGGCGAGGGAGTCGGCCATAGCTGTCGTGGTGGAAGCGGAGAAGAAGAAGGTGTGGTTAAGGCTCCAACACTTTCCGTTTGACAAACTTTATAAACGGTTTTAACCCTTTTTATTTCCGTTTTATTTGTGGGGTTGAGCAAATGGTAAATAAAAGAAAACAAAAGGTTCAAATGGTTACTCAATATTAAATAATAATCATAATAATATGATTAGAAAATATCCAATGTATATGTATAGATATCCTGTGTTTCCTCTTGAATTGTCCCATTTGCTATTTGTATGCAATAAGTACATATATTAGACTATAACAAAAGTTAATGACTTAGTCATTAGCAATTTACCTGCTCTCTGAATTCAAGAAACTATTCTTAGTTTCAGTAATGATTCACCTGAATATGGTTGCTGGAATAGAGATATCAATGGCACTAGTCAGCATGTCTGAATTAATACTGATGATTGTCTGTTATAAGGAACGAGGAGTAAATCTACAAGAAGTCAAGGTCTTTGACTTCGGGAACCATACGTGGAGGCCCTGCGTGTCTAAGGAGATTGTCGAGACGCTGCTTGACAGATATTGCCACCCCCAGCGCAAATTGAAGCGTTTCGCTCTCGTCAATGCTAAGGGAATCCCAGAGGGCATGTTCCGCAAATCATTGTGTGTTGCTGATTTGGTCCGCTACGTTGGGGTCCGAATCGAGTCGTTGCCCAACGCAGGCAGAAACCTCGAACGAGACTAGGGTGCTGTGAGTAATTCATTTTGAATTACTCACACCTGTTTCGAAACCGGTTTCGAAACAGGCCCGTTTCGAAACAGTTTCGAAACAGGTGGCCCGGGTGAGGTAATCACTCCCGGCCGGCCGGCGCTAGGTGATGAAGGAGGAGGAAGGTCCTTTGGTCACAGACGGCAGGTGTCAAATTGGTCAAAGCTGCATCTGACGGCTGGCCACAGCTGGGCCCCGTGCTACCCAGTCTCTGGTCCAGTGAAGCTGGCCTACGCGTCACCGCCGGCGCGTGACGGTCACGCGCCGGGCATCCCGGGCCTGTTTCAAAACCGACGTTGACCTCCGAAGAATTCAAAACTCACACCTGTTTCGAAACCGTTTCGAAACGGGTTTCGAAACAGCTTCAACTCACAGCACCCTAAACGAGACAACGATGAGCGCTGGGAGCCACCGCTTGCAACAACAACACCAATTGTAGCGCTGAACTTGGTGTCGGCGGGCCTGTCCAACTCAATGCTGAGCTTCCTTCACCGCACCCGGACCGAACTCCGTCCACATTTCAGGGCCCTCTCACAACTTGCACTTGACTCGGTGATGACACAAGAAGACCTGACATTATGTTTCTGTGCTGCACAGACGTTGGAAACCCTCGAGCTACGGTTCCATGGTATGTGTGTTTTGCATATCCCGCCACTGGCAATGTCCTCCTACTCACCTATAAACTCGAATAGATCTGTTTGTGCTTGATGGAACACCGACCCGGCTCCCTGCCCACCTTCCGCGACTCCGGAAACTCGATTTTCATCTGGGGTCGCTGGCAGTGCTGTGTGGTATGGTGCCCATTCCGCCGTCAGTGATCGATGTGCTCGAACCCTTCGTTGCACCAGTGCTGACTGATGTCACGTTCCGTTTCTCGTTGACCGCCAACCCAACACCGGCCACGTTGGTCGGGCTATGCTCCCCGGACCCTGTCTCCTTCACGAGGCTTGACGACACTCTCGTCGCACATCCGTCGATAAGTCATTTCGAGTGCTTCATCGGCTGGTCTTATCATATTTCTCTGCAAAACCCGCAGAGCTATATCAAAGTGCTGGCAGAGAAGCTCGCAGAAGCGCTACCGCAGGCGTCAGGGGCAGGTACTCTAAGTGTCGCGGGAGGACAAGAGAAGAGGAACCTTGAGGACGAGTTCCCATACTAGTAGTGGTAGGGATCAATGCATACTTATGTATCCGGGTCCAAACTGAAGCTCACCAACACTGCAAGCTCTAGTCCAACTCTTCAAGGGCTGAGTTTCATTTATGGATTAATGGCAAGCTAAACATGTGGCAAATACCTATTCCAATTTACCTCCAGATACGCTGTTCCGGGGACGTCCCGCAAGGCCATTAATGGTAGTACAACCAGGATAATACGCACATAATACGCGCCGGGACATAAAGCAGCGCGCCGATGATGTATAGCCGGATGACTAGAACAACTCCCAGCCGATCTGAGTCGGGGTTAACCGTTGCACACTGAGTATATACGAAAAGAGTAGGAGTAGGATTGGCCTGATAGGATTCAATCCTATTGGATAGGACTCAGTCCTATTGGATAGGACTCAGTCCTATTGGATAGGACTCAGTCCTGTGATTATAGGACTCAGTCCTGTGGAATGGGACTCAATCCCGCACAGAACTTTGACACAAACTGTCATTAGCTACCAAATTACCTATATGCCATACAATATTGTCGTTCAATACTCAGAGAATCAAATACGGCAATGTCTTCATCTTGTTGCTGTGTTTTTGCGAGAACTCCAAGTTGCTTTTTGCTCTGCAAAATGCTCATGAGCAGTTGGCCCATTCCATCGTCTATTCATCAATCCCTCACGGAAAATTTGATGAACCTATGCAGCATCTTCAAGTGCAAGCTCCCGAGCCCTGCTTGGTTATTAGTAATCATATTAGTTCAAAAAAAATTTAATCTACTCAAGAATGGCAGACAAGAGTGGAAGATGGATAGAAGTCTCTGAATTGCGTCCTGCATGTGAACTCTCAACAAGGTTTGTTGTTCGTGGAGTAATATTCCAATCATCCAGTGTAATGTTGGAAATAAATGCATGTAGAGATGGCAGTAGCCATGGATTGTTGATTTTTTGTGCATACCATTCTGTTCAAATATATTAGTAAATGATATTACTATCATTTTGATTATAAAATCTTACGTTGGACCTTGGGATGAGGATGGCCAAGACAAAACTGATGCCACAGATCAATCTCTTGTGCTGATGATAAGCCAAGGATTGATTTTAAACAGTTGCGATTATCCAATGTAATGCCATCTCTCTCTAGCTCTGTGATATGGGAGAGCTCACCTTTTGGCGTGGCCGAATGGCGTGCGCCAGCGCCAAGTGGCGTGGCGTGGCGTGGGAGTGGCTTTTGGCTGACGATCAAAGCCCACGCCAGCCATCAGGCGTGCACGCCATTTGGTCGGCTTGGCACGCCCCACCAAAATGGCGTGTGC